CGGGATTACAATCCTTGAATCATTTATCTATTTGTTTATACTAAATTCTCGAAACTCACCTCGCAAAGACCCGAATAACTCAACTCATAAGTTTGGTTATAGCATTATTTGTTTAATATTCTATTAGAATTACTATCAACAGTGATAATTATTTTAAACCTCAAAGCCATTTTTCCTACCTTCAATTTTATACATGTTCCATCATTCTATCTTTAATAATATTTCACCTTTTTTTGTGTCTAACTACATATTCTTACTACTTATTCTAAAGCATCTTTTAACTTTCTAACGGTTCATAAATTTTCAATTTATTTACAACATAAAATTACTATTCATGATCATTTAAATTCTTAATATCCACCTGTTAAAATATCAACAATTTATCTAATAACTCCAAACCACACAGCCCATCCATCGGGCAATCAATCAAATAAAATTTTTCCTATCCTCCTTCAATCTCAACATCCCCACACAATCAAATTTAAAATTTACAATAACATTATACCTAAACTACCTTAATCTACCCTTTAATTCTATTAATATATCATTATCAATATTACCTAAAAAACTACCTTAATCTACCCTTTAATTCTATAATATATAATTATCAAGGTTCTATTAATTAAATTCAACACTAATATTTATAATCTATAAACTACTCACAATTACTAAATTAAATTAACTAAATTAAATTAACTACAATAATTAAATTAATCAACTACAACAATAACAATTAATTCAAAGTAACTAAAATTATTAAAAATAAATTTTTACCAAAAATATTTAATTTTTGTCGAATTTTGCTTTGATCAAGGAATTTTTACGCGTTTGCCAGAGCGAAGGGCAGTTAACTGCCAGTGGACCGATCCAACGACAGTGGCGGAGGAGAGGCGGAGACAGAACAGATCGGCGGCTGTGGCGCACGATCTGGCGAAGGAAGCGGCTGCAGCGAGGCTAAGCTGTAGTTGCTTGCTGTAGGCGTGAACAGGCCTGGTTAGAGGGCGACTGTGGCGCGCGAGGAGCTGTGAGACGTGCTGGCGCGCGAAGGAGGCGCGTGCGGACTTGCAAAACTGGCACGCTGTTGGTGATCGACTGATGTTGCTTGGAGCTGCTGGCAGTGACGCAACAACAGTTGCAGGAGAAAGGGAACAAGAAGAAAGAAAAGGAAAGGAAAGAAAGAGAAGAAGAAGAGAGAGGAGAGGAGGTGCGCGTTGGTGGCAGTAAACGGTGGTGGACTGCAGGTGGGCAGAAATGGTGGACTGCAGGGTTGAAGTTTGCGCTGGATATAGAAGGGAGAGGGCTTCTAGAAGTGCGTTTGGGCTTGATTTCGATTTCGATTTCGATTTCGATTCGGCCCAAATCTTGATTTTTGTTGATTTTTTTCGATTTTTAATTGGTTTTTCCGATTGGGTTTTATCACTTGTACAAAGTACAAATTATTAATTCACATTTAAATATTGAAATACATTTTCCACGCTGTCAGTTTATTAAATTTAAATGAAAAATCTTTAAAAATAAAAATTTGGGTTATTTCAAATAACCAATGGAAAAAAAAGAAAATTTATTGAAACACTGAAGTAGGGTAGGTTCTAATACCATTTTATAAAATAGATTGAATCTAACTCACTTTTCAAAAGTTAACTTATGAGGAAGTGGATAGGTCAAGTCTTATATTTTGAATAAAAATCTTATTCCAAATCAATATGGAATAACACAGCCAAAAATGAAAAAAAAAAAAAAAAAAAAAAAAAAAAAAAGGTAAAAAGTGGTCCAATGTGACTTGATTTCAAACCATTTTCATTGGCAGTCAGAATCCGTTTAGATTGTTAAGCCCAATTTCAAACTATTTTGTCTCTACTTCAGAACCTAAAACCGTGGCAAGGCTAATATTGAAAATGTACAGTAATATTTGTATCAGTTTAAATTTTTAATGTCTTATTGACCCAAAAATATTAATGAAGTTCATATTTTAATTTAATAATATATATTATATATATATATATATATAATATATATAATATATATATATATAATTTTATCTTTTTTATAATTGTATCTTTTTATTTTCAATAATTGTAATAAGAGATATTCTCGAATGGGTTTACGTATATTAAAATTAAGTCTTTTCCCTGAACCAATGTTAAAAACGCATTTGACATTCTTATATATTAACCTAATACATTCAAATAATTTGTTAAATAGTTAGCTTCTCATTTAAACCAAAGCACAATCATTATTACTAATGTTTAATCATGAAAGAAAAACGGAGTTATAAAGAAGAATAAAAATAAAATAATTTCTCACCAATATGGGTAAGATATATTGGATTTGATTTCTTCTCAAAAGAGTTTTCATTAATTTGATAAGTCAATATATAGTCAATACCATTATTTCGATTCATTAAGTCACCCTATAAATAAAAAATAAAAAAATAAATTATATATGTCGAATTTTAGCTAATTTTACTTCGAGTTCCACTATTTTTAGTTGAATTTTTATGCCAATTATTTAATTAAGCTTTATCCTCGATTTGAATGGAAAGATAATTAAGGTGGATAAAATTGTAACAATAAAATTGAATTGACCTAATTGATAAAAATTTAAAGAACACATTTTCTCATTGATAAAAATTCTCAAGTTGCTACAATTATTAACTTCAAATCTGTTCTGATCCATTGAAATTATTTCTCACTGAGATACAATCCCGAGCCAAAGTGAAGCTAAAGATTAGTGTTTGGAAATTTAATTCAATTTATTAGTTTATTACATAGTATGATATTAGTGGGTTTCATATCCCATAAATTGCTTCTAGTTTATGTTAGAGCTTTGCTCCCTTCCGTACCTAAAAGAAAAAGAAAAAGAAAAAGAAAAAGACTTATTTACATTGAATATTTATACCCAGTAAATGTAAAACCACTATTGGCATATAAAGATATTAATGGATGTCTTTTCATTGAAAAAATACATAATAATAATAATAATAATAATAATAATAAGTTGTTTTAAAAAAAATAATAATAATAATAATAATATAAGTTGTTTTAAAAAAAAATAATAATAATAATAATAAGTGACAATTTTTTGAAAATGACAATCAATTATAGCCTAGGTATATGTACAAATAATAATAATAATAATAATAATAAGTTGTTTTAAAAAAAATAATAATAATAATAATAAGTGACAATTTTTTGAATGACAATCAATTATAGCTAGGTATATGTACAATGGATATATGCACTTAGGAAAAGAGGAAAGTAATCAACATGGTGTGTTATACTTAGGAAAATACTTGTTTAGACCGAGTACATGGCCCTATTTATGAACCAAATCAATGAAATTAAAAATTTTTTAAAAATAATACTTTTTTTATCCTTTATATAGTTAAAAATACTCTCCTCTCAATAAAAATTTCTATTTTCATTGCTTTAATCCATAGGTGAGATTACGGATCTAGTTTAAATAAGTTTTTCTCATACTTATAAGGTGAGATATTTAGGAAGGAAAACATATTTCTACTCAAAAAAAAATTCACATTCATTTCCTTCCATTCTTTTCTTTTCCTTATCAACGTCAACTTTGATGCATGTGAATTCTAAAGGCTTGTTCGGTAATAGTAACTATTTTAATAATTGTTAGCCGTTAAATATTCTATAGCCGTTAGCTGGTATTTAACGTTTGATAAAAAAACTCTCTCAATTTTTAAAAGCTATTTATAATAGTACGTTATCGAATAATACAATTAAAAGCTGGCCCAAAAGTTGTCAAGAAAAGAAATTGTATTTCATTATCTTTTTTAGACACAATGTCCATTGAAAATTTATATTTGTCCTACTAAATTTTAATTTCTCAAAATTTACTTACACTTTAAAGTTCTTCCCTTTGTTTTAATTCAGACGACCCTTTTAATTTAAGAACATCAAAGACTTATTCTAAAATAAAAATAAAATAATTTATGGGAAATAGTCAATAGACTTGTAATATTTACCTTTCATTACTTTCCTACACTTATTTTCTAGCACTTTTTTTTTTCCTTTATTTTTTTTTTCATGTCATTTAATTTCCCTTAAATTTATATTTACTCTTTACCTGAACTTAAAGCAATTTCTACGTAAGTTGTTAGAATTTGTACCTTACTAATTAATTAATTTCCCTTATACTCTTTTATTTCTTTTAGTACTTTATATCATGATAAGATCTATTGTAAAGATTAAAAGCCTCTTAGGTTTGATCTAGATTGGCCTACTATTCCAAGAAAAATAATTTTTGGGGTAAACAATGTCAATAGTTAAACATTTTTTTTTGTTTGGTGACCATATTTTTGTACCCATCATGCATCTTTGAAATAGATTAATGCTTCCTAGGGTCGCAGTTAACAGAAGATAAATTTTCATGGTTCTTTTGTATGCCTAATAATGAATTATATAAAATTATGAAATTTATGCATAATATGCTTATTTTTTATATATGTTTATATATGTTCAGTGTAGATGAAAATTCATTTGAAATATGCATTTTTAATTTTATAGAATTCATTGTATTTGAACTAAATTTTTCTAAACTTGATCAATGGAGAAATATAAATTAGCAATAACGCAATTATTAAAATTAAAAAAACTTTAAGCATAAACGAGAAAAAACTATACATTTAAAATAAATTCGTTATTGTTTTTGTACAATTTATTTGTCAATGAATAAATTTTATATGAATTTAATCTAAAAGTTGTATATTACATGAATTTTATTTGAATTTATTCCAATTATTATTATTTCTTTTTTGCTTCATTGCCAAGGAAATAAATACGTAATATATATTTTCTTTTTTCTAATCTTATTTATATCAAACAAATTAATTTCATGATTTTGGTTCAAATTTCAAATTTTTTTAAAAAATCCTTCAAATAATTAAATAAATAATGTAATCTTTAGACATGGTTTTAATCAATATTCTTGCCAGCAAAAAGCTACGTACAAATTAAATAGCAAAGTTAAAAACATACAGATGAACGTGAATATGTATACAACAATAATAAATAGTATGTAAATATTTAAGTTTAATTATATCCTAAAAACTGAAAACAAAATAAATTTTTAGTATCAAAATTAAAAGAAAGGAAGAAAAGAGAAATACCTCTTAATATTAGAAGTTACATCAAAAATATCTCAAAAGAATTGTCTTTTAGTCTTATCAGTTGAAGTTTGATGATGCTTATCAGGCCCTAACCGAAGCTCCAAGTCTAATACTTCTATCCGGCCAGCCGTAGATCCATGGCTGCTAAACTGCATCTTCTTCTTCTTATTCTTATCTTCAGCTTCAGCTTCATCTTCTTCCTCTGTACAAAGATTTTTGTCTTTGGAAAGAATATGGTCAGGTTGGTTCGACTTTGCAATATCCAGAGAGAGCAAATTCTCATCATCGTCATCAGGAGCTTGTCTAAGCTTTGCCCTATCTTTTCTATGGACATTCATATGACCTCCTAATGCTTGTGCATTAGAAAACCCTTTCTTGCAAAAAGAGCAGCTGTAAGATCTTGCAGACTGCAACTCACCTGAGCTCCATATCGTTTGTTTAGACTGATTAATCTCCATTAAAGAGAGAGACAGAGAGAGACAGAGATAGAGATAGAGATAGAGATAGCGAACAGAGGAGAGATGGTCAACTGGTCGGTTGTAAGAGAGGTTTTCATATAGAGATAGACAGGCAGGCGTAAACTAAATGAATTAATTACGTGATGTATTCGTTTTAATGACAACAATGCCCTTCAGGATTACTTCTTAATTACGTATATCAATGGGGAGATTCCCTCAGTCTTAATCTTAAGAGAGTATATTTTGTTTAACAAGTCAGTAATGGCATGCGGAAGTAAATATGACAAGAAAATGTTAGGTGTGGCTAATTGGTAAATATAATTACAGTGATTTTGATATAAATAATTAATAAATAAGGTGAATTAAATGTGAAAAAATAAATATTTAGATGCGTAAGTGATAAAATGCAAGAGTTTGAAATGTTTTTAACCTCTTGCACAGTAACTAAATATTTGACTGTTAAATTATAAGTCTAATTATAATTTGATGTAGAATATATATTGGATATTAGGAGATCAATCTTCTATTAAATAATAATAATAACGATAATAAAAAAGAGAAGTTTTTACCTAGACAAATATGGGTAAATAATGTCAGAAAAAATTTCATATATGGTGAGATTTCATTTCTTGGGAGGATATCCATATACAACAGGTCTAAATATAATTTTTTTTTTTACAATATAATATAAGGTCAAAAGTAATAGTTATTTCATCGGAAAAGCATATATAATTGTAATTAAGTTAAATCTCTCAAAAGTCCAATCCTAGCTAAATTCAACCTCACACTCTATATTTCACTATCACTTCCAACACCACCATTACTGCGGCTACACCACCATCATATCATTATAATACAAAAGAAAAAAAAAAATTTGAACATTGAACTAAAAATATATATGAAAATTTGGTCTCGGTCAACCATCAATTGATAAGCATCGTTCAATTGCTTTTTTGTTTCCTAATTACTAGCTTTTAGAAAATATTGGCACATGATTTACTCTCTATAATCAATGTCACGATGGCTGTGTTTGAGAACAACTTCTTAAGTAGTTTTTAAACGCTACTTTTTATAATATTCAGTAACGTAATGTTTGAATCAGCTTTTAGAGATTAATATAGTGTTTTGTGAAAAGTTAACTTATGTAATATTTAACTTTTAACGTTTTATGAAAATCTATTAAAGCATTCAACAGTTAGCAAAACAAGTAAATTTGCCAAACAGAGTCTATATGGAGCAATTTTCCAAAAAGGTATGGTATTTACATTACATATTTATAATTTTTCAAAATAGTTATGATAGTTCTAATTACATTACATATTTACAAATAAATATAAAAATGGAATGATAATCACATTCCATAATTTTTTTTCAACAATATTACTAAACATAGTAATGAAATGTTAATTACATTATATTGCATTACACCCAACGAATCATAGCCTAAATTAATCTTCTATGAGAAAAAAAAAATAGCCTAAAACTTTTTTTGGTCAATCTTAAGAACCACTCCAGTCTAATGCTTTGAAAAAGATTAATCATGAAAAACATTTTAATTGCATCAAATTAAACCTAAATAATAAGAAATAAAATTTGTTACCCTTAGCAATTGGATGAATTTCATTAAGTAAGAAATTCATATAAAGGTTTAGACTCAAGAAAAGAAAAGGACGTAACTCTTGGAGATCATTATACTCCAATATACTATGTTAAAAATTAAAATTGTTCTTTCTTTACCTTTATAAGAAGGCAGAAAAGAATTATTTCTTAGATTATCCATAGCAGACCTTAATGTACAAAATTGTAATCTTGATCAAACGATTGAATAAATTAATAAATGCTTTTTATTTATCAAGAAATAAAGAATAAGAACAGCATCCTATGCTGACAAGAAAGCTTAATTGTTTTGAAAAATGTAAAAATAGGCACTTATCTTTTAGGCATATGAAGAGTTTATAAATAATTAATATATGTATATGAAGGCAATATATATAGGAGCATCTTGGCTTGATGCTAATGTTTGGATTCAAGAGAACAATTAGTTCTATTATTCTTCACTGGGAGCAAGTAATATACATTATAAAAAAAAGGACATTGTAAACCCTAAGAATTTTATTTTGAATTTCTTGAATATTTTACTATCCTTAGCTTGGCCATTTGTGGAGACAGAAGCAGCCCATTAGCTATTGATTAATCATTTACTTAAGTCTTTGTTTATCTCTGCAATACTAAAAGGTTGCTATCGTCAAGCTAGAAAGCTAGTAGGAGAGACGAGTTTAAGGGGCTAGACAAACAACTTTATTTCTTTATTTCCTATAATTTGTACTTGGTCCAAAGGATTGATCTATGTAGATAAAGCCAGGATAACTAATTTGACAACCAAGTAGCTCTTCTTGAACCATTTTGATCCTTTGACAATTTCCTAGTCCTTTTTTTTATTTTTTTTTATTTTTTTGGTAATATATATTGCGATAAACCTTACCAAAAAGATGAGAGTTTGCTCTCGCTTTCATTTCTTTAATTAATGACAAAATATTAAAGAACGTGTGTTAACTGTAAGAAATTTCAGCTTCCGGGTATAGATAAATAAAAAGAAAAATAGTTTCATAGGGAATGATTTAAGTAGTAAAATAAAAACGAAATTAATCTTATATTGAAAAAATTTAGAGATAGTCATGGCAAAAAAAAAAAAAAAAAAAAAAATTTCAAGCTTCCGGGTATAGATTAAAATAAAAAGAAAAAATAGTTCTAGGGAATGATTTAAGTAGTAAAAATAAAAACGAAATAATCTTAATATTGAAAAAAATTTAAGAGATAGTATGGCAAAAAAAAAAAAAAAAAAAAAAAAAAAAAAAATTACAAAGTAAAAGATTGCACTTTTTCATTATTAGTATAATCTTTTATTCTTTTTATGTGGATGAAAAACTTGAAATTAAGTAATCAAAAATAAAAAAAATTAAATAATAATTTTTTAAGAATATTTTTATAATTTTTTCAGATAGATTTACATGGCATTATATATATTTGTATTTATCATTCGATCTCTAATCAGTTTTTTGCTTGTTAATTCATAGCATCCAAATTCTGCATTAATGACTAATTAATAAAATAATAGGATTCAATAGTCATTAAAATAATATCATTAGAATTTGCAATAAGTAACTTTTTCTTTCACAAGCATGCTTTCGTTCACTATCAATCAATATAATATTCATAAGCTCAAAACACACTCAAGCCTATTAACCCATTTACAGCTAATTAATGTACTCGTGCATTCACTTAGAGAAAAAAGACACACATTACCTATAATCAATTCCTTTTGGATAATTGATAATAATTTTGAGTTTATTAATGAGTTTTTAATAATTGATAAATTATGATATTAAATTACTAATCAATTGAATTCTTTTTAATGGTATTAAGGAATATTTGATTAAACTTTAATTTCTATAATACATGTAATTATTTAGTTTATTGCAATACCGAGTATGTCTTTAACTTTTTCTTTTAATATTTGTGTAAACTAAATTATTATATAAAATAATATAAATATTTTGAATATATAAGAAAAAACTGTGAAAAAATAATTTAAGAGTTTTTAATACAAAAATAAATTTATTTTCTCAAAGATATAATGTGGTTGGATATTTAATGTAACACATGATATTTTCTTTTAAAGGAAAAATTATATGAACATATTTATTTTTAATAAATACATACAATAATGAGACGAAGATTTTAACAGTTTATTTTCTAAATTTATTTTTTAAATATTTGATTCTATTTTTTATATAATTTAAAATATTCTATTTAGGAGAGAGATAGAAAAAGAAAAAAAAGTATATTTTTTATAACAAAATTTCAAATAGAAATTTCAAATAGAAATACATAATTAGCGTTTTAAAAATTTAATTTTTAAATTAAAAAGAACATGTGTGTATGTAGAATGACAAACAAGTTGAAAATTTTAATTTTCAAAAAATATATGTAAATATTTTTATGTTATATCTATATATCTACTATATATTGAAACATGTTTATTAAGGTGGTATTGCAGTTAATAAATTTTAGATAAATGATAAATATAAATTAACTGAAAATTTTGGTGTGTAATATATATATATATACTGCTGTTTTAATTAATTATCGTTATATTCATATTATCTTATATGAATTGTTATTTTAACCAATATTCATATTAATCTTATATGAAATTTTATTTTAACATTATAAAAGTCTAAATAATATAAGATAAAAATTATAATCAATATTTAATATTAAAAATGAGTATAAATAATAAGTAAAAAGTGACAACAAATTGAACGAGTATTAATAATGAGTACAGTCAATGTGCAACAAACGTCATAAAAAGACTAGTAATAATAAAAAGAGAAAAATAAATGTAAACGTAAAAATAAATTAAACCTAATAAATATGATTAAAATAGAAAAAAACATATTGATATTGCTCTCAAAATCCTTAATGAGCACTTAAAGTGAAACAAAGTAAAATGTTCTTTTATTTGTTATTAAAGTGAAATGGAAGAAGTGATTTTTTAAATTTCACCCCCTTATGTTTTAATTTTATTTTCACTTCCTCTATTTTTTTTTTTTTTATTTCTAGTTCCGTCCCTATTTTTGTCTACCTCTTGTGAAAATATATGTATCAATAAGTGAGAATTCTTTCTCATCCAGCCCCACATCATTCAATAAGTAAAAGACAACTCATCTGCAGGGAGGGTGATAAAACGATAGGCAGGCGAACATTAAAGCTCATACTCTTGCTAGAGTGTCTTATCGTTTTGCTCGTACACAGATTTGGGACCGTGTCCCCGATTGTCTTCGGAATTTTTTCCTTGAGTGAATGGATATTTTTACTCTTTCAAAAATAAAAATTTCATTTAAAAATTTAATTATTAATCCTAAACCAATGGCATTATAGAATTTATTATATCTAAAATTGAATAAATTAACACCCTATGAATTTATTTAACTAATTAA